AGTGAAGTATGTGATTACATTATACAACATCGTGATTGGTGTTAGTGAAGTATGTGATTACATTATACAACATCGTGCTTGGTGTTAGTGAAGTATGTGATTACATTATACAACATCGTGTTTGGTGTTAGTGAAGTATGTGATTACATTATACCACATCGTGTTTGGTGTTAGTGAAGTGTGAGATTGTTAGAATAACATGTTTATGGTATTCATGGTTATTATAACATTAGTACTAACTCGAGTTTTAAAAGTTATTAATATTATATAAACCAGGGAAAGACAATCCTTTAAACTAATCATCGGACTAGTTGCACATGGATTTTTGAAACAACGGTGTTTATGAAGAAGATCGCAGACAAGATACAGCCTTTCAGGCCTTAGCATTACCGGAAGTTGCTTAGAATATACTCTTCTTAATCAACTGACAAAGTTTCCAGTTGATGGTGAATCCCTGAAACAAATCTTTCCTCGACTTCCTGCAACTTCACAGCCATCTTTTTAACTCCGTTTTTCACAAATTAACGAAGAAAATTTATACTAATATATTTTAACAGCTATGATCTTTAATCCGGAACTTCACGTTCATATCTTTTATTTATCTATGTGCTGATGAAAACCCGGATATCTTCTAAACTTGAAAAACGGGGGAACTTCAACGATTTATATAATTTAAGTTATATATCATCCCTCAGTCTTTCACGTGGTCACCTCAAGCAGATAAGCTTCTCTGTATGGTCCAGTCATAGTGGAATAATAACCTTCGTAACAAAAAAATATAGTTCTATTGATAGTAACTCTAGTACATGACAACGTTAAGATAGGAATTGAGAATCCTTTGTTTAAAACCAGCTTGGAAACAAGTTTAATACATAAAATATAATTCTGTTGATAGTAACTCTAGGTATGAAAATGTTAAGATAGGAAATAAAATTACTTTGTATAATACCAGCTTGGATATAAAAGTTTAATACATAAAATATAATTCTGTTGACACAGTGTTTCATGTACCTAAAGTACGACATGTTTGTGTGGAGGTTACTAAAAATGACATTAATATCAATGCCTGAGAAGTCAATGTTTCATGTACCTAAAGTACTCGACATGTTTGTGGTGGAAATGTCTAAAAATTACACCAGTATTAATGTCCGAGAAGTCAAGCCAGTGTTTCATGTACCTAAAATGATTAACAAGATTGTGGTGGAAATTACTAAAAATGACATCAATATCAATGCCTGAAAAGTCAATGTTCCATGTACTTAAAGTGTTCGACAGTTTGTATCATCCCAAGTAAACAGATCTTGGATTTTCTACACTTGAACGAAGGAGAGTTATCTGCAGCGGTGTATGATAATCCTAGATGTCATGATGCCAATAGTATGATGGAAGATTGTCATTGATGTTTAAATGTACTTTATAGGGATCAATCATATTAGCTGAAGATAAGATATAAATTAGTTTGATCACATGATGTGTCGAGTGGTACCTGAAGAACTATAAATCACTGTGACAATCAAATTTGTTGTCAGTCCAAGAGAAATGAGGAGGGAAAAATATATTGAAGCATTTATAAGAGGCATGATAGAGGGTGAACGTCTAGTTGAAATATATTGAAGCATTTATAAGAGGCATGATAGAGGGTGAACGTCTAGTTGGTGCCATAGTAATCAAGAGGTTTCGTTGGTAGCTTACTCAAAGACATCCGTCATTGAAGTTTACCAGCAAATGGAAAAGGTGAATAAAATATCTGGTGGGAGTGGAAATTGGGGTCGCAATGATAGAAAGAGGAGAAAGACAGTTAGACCAGATTGTATAGTCCAACAAATAATAAACCAACTTAAAGATACATTCAATGCATGGCAATCCACATCAACCTCCTACGGTATCTTGTAATAAATGGTATTGTATAAACCATTGATCTGGGTTACCAACTACAAAAAACACCTTGAGTAACATAAAGATTGTAGACATTTGGACTAAAGAGGACTGGCGAAAAGTGACGTGGGCCAACGAATTAGGCATTGAAGTTTTACACAAATGTGTGAACATTTTACTGTCGACATATGACTGCCGCGACATTTTACTGACGATAAACCGATACAGCAATTAATTAATTCATTTGAAGATTTTCTGCATGTATAGAAATTATATTATCGGAATATTATAAAAGCAACCATTATCATGTCAAAAACGTTGAACACGAAAATTACGTCATAAAATTTGTACCCTTGCAAACATAAATAATAGTGTACGTATTTGCTAAATAGTGATAGCCTTTTTTTCAGCAAATTATTACCTTACTTTATTATTCTATTTTTAAGGTCATTCACTGTGCTAGGAAATATTTTATTTTGAGAACACAATTATTTGCCGGCAGTAAAATGCATCGGCAATCATTTACTACGGCAGTAAAATGTGATACCGATCCCAACCATCTAAGCCTTGGGTGGTGGAATCATGGCTTGAGGCACGTTTTTCTGGTATACTCTGGGCAGAATGAATGGTACAGCTTACCTCATAATAACTTCTAAGTAGGTGCATCATTTCCACCCTGGTGGAGACTTCCAAGACTAAAATTCACCTTGTCTAAATTGTTGGTTAACGAACATAAAGGAGACTTGAGGCATCTCTCATGGCCAACACAATCTCGGATATCAACCAACTGTGGTATGAACTAGACAGCCTACCTCGATCCATTAATTGCATAAAATATTGGTGACTGAATGAGAAAAAATATTCTTCCTTGTGGATTCTAAGCCTTGTAATATCATGGCTGTAATTCGAGGTAAAGATGACCCAAACTGTTTTTAGGTCCAAATAAAGTAGCCGGATAATTAAAAGGAAAGTTCGGTAGAATAAATAGAATATTGTGAGGTAAAGTGTGGCAATTCATTTAAATTTCATAAATAAAATATATTTAATGTTATATTTAC